TTTTGTATCCTCATGCCCTTTGTCTCTGTATCTCTTCCTGGATAAATATTTAGTCTGGCCTAGGCCTCACCCAGTAAGAATACAGCTACTTTTTACTGAACCTTGCTATGGGCCTTTGTTTCCCCATTATGTTGTTCATTTGTTTGTTTCCTTGCTGATTGTCTGTTACAGGGCTACTCATCTAGCCCTCAGTGAAAACTCTGTGGAGTATAACTTGATTCAACTCTGCCTTTTAAAAAAATTCTTAATTGCTATATTTGATTGCACTAGATCTTTATTACTGCATGCTGACTTTCTCGAGGTGTGGTGCGTGGGCTTCTCATTGCCGTTGCGTCTCTTGTTGCAGAGCATGTGCTCTAGGGTGCACAGGCGTCAGTAGTTGTGGCACACGGACTTCGTTGCCCCAAGGTATGTGGACTCTTCCTGGACCAGGGATCGAACCTGTGTCCTCTGCTCTCACCAGCGGATTGTTCATGGCTGGACCACCAAGGAAGTCCTCAACCCTGCTTTCCCAGCTCTTGGAGCCACGCCTGGCATAGTGTGTAACTTGCAACCATTTGCAGGGTGAATTAATCCTATAAAACTGTACATATTATCCATTCTACCACTGAAGAAACTGGGATTCAGAAATATTAAATTAAAACGACCTAGCTTGCAGCGACAATAGTATTTTGGAACCCTTAAGTTAGATGCTTTTCTGAGCATAATACATGAGTTGACTCACTGAGTCTGTACGAAAACTCTTAAAGCATATGCTTTTTTTATAATCATTTTATAGGTAAGGAAATGCATGCTTAAAGATGTCCAGTCACTTGTTCAGGGTCACACAGATGGCAGAGGGTGGAACTGACTCCATCCCAGGCAGTTGGGAGGTCATTTTCACCAGGCAGCTTGGCACCTGGGTATTTCTAGCTGTGTCCCACCCTTACTGCCTTGTTACTGACCAGAGACATTGAACTCTTGGAAAGTAAAGGGAAAGTGAAAGTCTCTCAGTTGTGTCTGACTCTTTGTGACCCGATGGATTATACAATTCCTGGAATTCTCTAGGACAGAATGCTGGAGTAGGTAGCTGTTCCCTTCTCCAGAGGATCTTCCCAATCCAGGGATCAAACCCTGAGTTTCCTGCGTTGCAGGCAGGTTCTTAACCATTTGAGCCACCAGGGAAACCACAGAATACTAGAGTGGGTATCCTATTGCTTCTCCAGCAGATCTTCCCAACCCAGGAATCGAACTGGGGTCTCCTGCATTGCAGGTGGACTCTTTACCAGCTAAGCTACCAGGGAATTCATTGGACTCTTTAATTTATAGAAATTGGTAAGAGGCCAGAAGAGAAATTCAGGCAAATGTCAGGCTCCCTTGAGGGTTCCCCGAGGAGACTGGGCTGGTTCCTTGCATGGAGTGAGGTGGGGTTTGGACACGTGGGTATTACAGGACAGACAGCTTCGGTGGTCTTCGAACCCTCTTGGTAATGCCCTGTGCAGGAATCATGTGTGGGACTCTTCTGTTGCTGTTTTCAGCAGCTTGGAAGCAGCAGTTGGTCTGTGGTCTTTTTGTATCTTATTGTTTGTAATTTGCCCCAACTGCACAAGCATGAAGTTATTTTTAGTCTCTTATTTGTATCTGTTGCTGGAGGAGACATTTGCCAACAGGTGCAAATGCTGCAGCATAAGGTCCCAGGTCCCAGCCGGTCTGAGCTTCTGTTGGCTCCCTACTTGCTTGCTCATCTCTGGGTCAAATCTTATTTGCTAAAACTTTCTACTGCAAACAAACATCTGCTTTTCACACTCCCAGAAATAGCCTCATCCCAAGCCTCAAGGCATCGCCCCACCCTGGGTAGGGCCACTTCTTCAGAAAGTCTGGGTCTCAGCCCTCAACCTCCCAGAGAGGGGGTCCCTCTGCCACGTTCTGGGGGCAACACAGCACCTGGATGGTAGTCCTTCCTCTGAGGTCCACAGTTATCGGTACCAACACAACCTCGGGTATTGGGGAAATTAAATATTTTGTGCAAAGAGGTGTGTGGTGATGGTGGTGGTTTGGTTGCTAAGTCATGTCCAACTCTTGCAGCTCCATGGACTGTAGCCCACCAGGCTCCTCTGTCCATGGGATTCTCTAGGCAAGAATACTGGAGTGGGTTGCCATTTCCTTCTCCAGGAGATCTTCCTGACCCAGGAATTGAATCTGGGTCTCCTGCATTGCAGATTCTTTACCAACCGAACTCGAGGGAAGCCTCAAAGAGGCATGTATGTCTAGGAAAACCTGGTTCCGTATCACTCACTCAGGGCCCGTCTAAGAAATCACAAGTATTTTATTTTCTGCCACTTAAAACACATCAGATTACAAAGCATTCTGGTTTCATGTGGAATATTTGTAGAAGTATCTGAGTGATTTTTATACTGAATTCACTGAAAGTGATATTAAAAGAGTTTTGTAGAGAAAATATATTCTTCTGCCCATGTAAATACATCATATTCTATATTGGAATGTAGCAGGAAACTGATTGGGATATAAAATAACAGTCCATTAGCTCTGAAAAAAGGGTGTAAAATTACAGAAATAAAAGAAATAGGTTGGCTTAAGTGAGTACTGGTACAAATCAGGAGAAGAAATGCCACAAAAAATACTGGTAAATGGATTCTCATCTTTTATTTGTGATATTATAAAAGCAAATGGCAGTACTGCAATTCAGGAAATATGGGTGACTCAAAGGCAAGTCACAATATAAAATTAGATGAAATAAAAATGAATGGTTCTATTGGCAAGCAAAGAAATTAAGCAATAAGAAAATATACATTGGACTGAATTCCCACACAGGTTGCTAGAGGGAATGTTGATAAGCCAGTATTTCTGTATAAATCAAGACAAAACATACAGTAAAAAAAACAGAGTTAAAGAAACCCCAAGGTCATTCTCATGCATGCAGTAAAAGCCAATATCTGCTTGCCTGTTCTCACACTAACAAATGGCAGGGGAGGAAAAAAAAGAATTCTAATAGAAACTAGCTTGAACCCTGGTTTCAAGAAGGACCCAGAAATTCCATTCCTCTTGGAACTTTGGCTTGTGGTCATAAGAAATTTAAATTTAACTCTCCTAAGGAAGTAGCCCAAATTCTACCTTTGATTCTTTGGATGGGTAACAGGATGTTACTTATGCAGCAAATCATTCTAGGATGGAAATCCATGTCCACTCTTTTCTGTGATGTTTGTGCTTCTATTTTCTGCCCCTAGACGTAATGGTGTTTCCATAGTCTGTAAATCCACTATTCTCTCTCCTTCCCTGTTGGGTTGTCAACATGTGATCCTGGTTCATTAGATACGGGATAAATACGTTGCTTTAAGAAACTGAAGTCACTCAGTCGTGTCCGACTCTTTGCGACCCCATGGACTGTAGCCTACCAGGCTCCTCAGTCCATAGAATTTTCCAGGCAAGAGTACTGCAGTGGGTTGCCATTTCCTTCTCCAGGGGATCTTCCTAACCCAGGGATCGAACCCGGATCTCCCGCATTGCAGGCAGATGCTTTACCTTCTGAGCCACCAGGGAAGCCCCAATATGTTGATTTGGATAAAGATGAATCGTGCCTCCTGATAAATATAGTAGCTCTTTACAAAGTGAGCAATACAGACACTCCATTCAAAGGGTGATCAGAGACAGGGTGTAAGCAGGAAGTCAACAGATTATTGTACATCTCTCATTATTAAAGAAATGCAAATCAAAACTGCGGTGAGGTACCACCTCCCACCAGTCAGAGTGGTCATCATCAAAAAGTCTACAAATAGCAAATGCTGGAGGGAGTGTGGAGAAAAGGGAAACCTCCTACACTGTTGGTGGGAAGGTAAGTTGATGCAGCCACTGTGGAGAACAGTATGGATGTTCCTCTGAAAGCTAAAAATAGAACTACTCTATGATCCAACAATTCCACTCCTGGGAATTTAGCTGGACAAAACTATAATTCAAAAAGATACATCCATTCCAATGGTCATAGCAGCAGTATCCACAATAGCCAAAATATGGAAGCAACCTAAATGTCCATTGACAGATGAATGGATAAAGAAGATGTGGTACATTTATAAGATGGAATACTACTCAGTCATTGAGTAGTATGAACAATGAATGATATAATGCCATTTGCAGCAACATGGATGCAACTAGAGATTATCATACTAAGTGAACTAAGTCAGAAAAAGAAAGACAAATAGCATATAGTACTTATATGTGGAATTTAAAATATGGCACAAACAAACCTATCGACAAAACAGAAACAGGCTCACAGATATAGAGAACAGATTGGTGGTTGCAGACGGAGTCAGGAGTAGGGGAGAATAGGACTGGGAGTTTAGGGTTAATATGCAAGCTATTATAAATAGGATAGATAAACAACAACGTCCTACTATATAGCAGAGGGAACTATATTCAATATCCTGGGATAAACCGTAATGGAAAATGATATATAAAGAAAACGAATATGTATATGTGTATAAATGAGTCACTTTGCTGTGCAGAGATTGGAGCAACACTGTATATCAGCTGTACCTCGGCGAAAAAGTTAAATTAAAAAGTAAGTGGATTGTCAGTTCCGTTCAATTCAGTCACTCAGTTGTGACCGACTCTTTGCAACACCAGGGACTGCAGCACGCCAGGCCTCCCTGTCCATCACCAGCTCCCAGTTTACTCAAACTCATGTCCATTGACTCAGCGATGCCATCCAACCATCTCATCCTCTGTCGTCCCCTTCTCCTCTCGCCTTCAAACTTTCCCAGCATCAGGGTCTTTTCAAACAAGTCAGCTTTTCACATCAGGTGGCCAAAGTATTATAGTTTCAGCTTCAACATTAGAAGTGGATTGTAGTCTGGGACCCAGACTATCAGCTTTCACCGACTAAATTCCCACATGTAAATAAAAGTAGAGGTTGGCCTTCTCAGCATCGGCAAACCAACTCCATCAAAGACTATTTTCAGCCGCTTACCTCTCCCAAAAAAAGGGAAAGGGATGAAGAAAATCAAGAAATGTCTTTATCCAAATCAGCAAGAATGGAAATGTCTTGTTCTCTTTTAGAACAAACACAACCAACTACATCGTCGATAAGGAAAAATAAGGATGAACACCTATCTCAGAATGTGCTTGTGGAAAAAAACCCAGATAATTCATATGCAGATACCAATTTAAAACCCACTGTGAAAAATTATGCCAATGAGTCTCTTTTTACAGAAAAACTAAAATCAAAAAAAAGAAAAGAAATTGATGATTTAGCCATAGAAGATGAAGTATTAGAACAGTTATTCAAGGAAACAGAACTAGAGTTTGAAAGCGAAGTGAAAGTTCAAAAACAAGAAGAAGATATCAGTGTTAGAAAAAGGCCAAGATTGGATATAGAAACAAATGTCACTTTTAATGATGAAACAATACCAGAAAGTAACAAGATATCTCAAGAAAATGAAATTGAGAAGAAGTGTGAGCTCAAGAAAGAATCACTCTGGTCAACTAAAGAACTATCTAACAATGGTGAACTTCAGGATGGTAATGAGATGCTTCTGAGGAAAGTGTTACTGACTGAATTTCGTTCACTGGTGGTGCGTAACTCCACCTCCAGAAATGCATCCAGTGTGAATAATGATTATGGTGAACTAAAGAATTTCAAGAAATTCAAAAAGGTCACATTTCCTGGAGCAGGAAAACTTCCACACATCATTGGAGGATCAGATCTAATAGCTCATCATGCTCGAAAGAATACAGAATTAGAAGAGTGGTTGAGGCAAGAAATGGAGGTTCAAAATCAACATGCAAAAGAAGACTCTCTTGCTGATGACCTCTTTAGATACAATCCTAATGTTAAAAGGAGAAGATAACAAGGTTTTATGAAGAAGCCACAGAAAAACATGTCCTATTTAGTATTTACTTCCTCTGCAGTACATTCATACTGTGTATAGAAGATTTAAGTTTATGGCCTAAATTTGTTAAATAAAACACACAAACTCAAAAAAAAAAAAGAAGTGGATTGTAAATTAGCCCAAATTTCTTAGAATCAGCCTGGGTTAAACAATAAATTTAATACTAGGGGTTCAATATTTGCTTATTTTGTTTTGTTTTGGTTTTTCTTGGGTAGCAACCTTGGGGACAGTTCCAAGAAGCTATTGCCATGAATGTTTTCAAGCATGCTATTCATTGGATTAACAGTTATTGTACTGAGAGATAGAGAAAATAAAACAAGTCACTGGAGTTTAAAATGTTCTAGGCTCTTAAACCCTGGTGAACAACCTTTGGTTTGAGCATAGGGGATTTATAGGGAAATGGTGAAAAATAAAAAATTTTAAAGAGAGAATGGGTTTTGTGTTACAATGATTTGCTGTGACTTCTGGAGGCCTTTTTCTGAGCAGCTATACCTCCATACATAAAAAAAAAAGTGATCTTGACTTCAATATTCCAATACTTTGGCCACCTGATGCAAAGAACTGACTCATTGGAAAAGACCCTGATGCTGGGAAACACTGAAGGCAGGAGGAGAAGGGGATGACAGAGGATGAGACGGTTGAATGGCATCACCAATTTGATGGACATGAGTTTGAGCAAGCTCCAGGAGCTGGTGCTGGACAGGGAGGCCTGGCATGCTACAGTCCTTGGGCTCACAAAGAGTTGGACGTGATTGAGTGACTAAACTGAACTGAACTTGACTTCAAGTTAATTCCATCTCAAACATGAACTTGGGATGATTCCTCATTTAAGAGGCTTCCAACCTTCACTGCCGTTCTTTACCAAATTTCCTTATGTGATGGTGACGCATCTGAGAACTTGGAGCCCCCTTCAAGGATCAGGGATACCAAGAGGACACATGGATGCAGACTACAAAGGAAGATACAGCCTCTGGCCTAGCTGCATGCCTGAGATAGCTCAGAAGACACCTAGCCCATCCCAATTTACCACCACCATCCTCGCGAGTCACATAGAACATCTCAACCTTTAGCAAGTGTTTGACTTTCCTGGGAACGTTAATAACATGTAGATTCTGGATTTCCTGATGGAGCTGAAACCTGCACTCCACAGGGTGACGTCTCTTAGCTCAAAGAAGGAATGAAATGTTCTATCCAGCTAGACTGGAGCACTCTGAAATGTAGGTATTTTCTCCTCATAAACGGTAACAGCTAGTACAAGAATACTGATAGCAGCCACCATTTATAGGCTTTGCATATTGTGTGGATATATAACACAAATGCTGTGCATTTTGCCCCATCCTTGTATATGACATTACAGATGATTAAGTACGAACACTTGTTGAACCTTCCCATGAGCCAGGCGATTTTTAAAATTCTGGCTGTGCTGGGTCTTTGTTGTAGCGCACGGGCCATGTGTTGGCTTCTCTAGTTGTGGTGAGAGGGTCTCTTATTGTGGAGCTTGGGCTCTAGAGCGTGCAGGCTCAGTAGTTGTGGGCTCAGCTGTTGCCCTGCAGCATGTGGGATCTTAGTGTCTTGATGCAGCTTCAAACTCACGTCCGCTGCATTGGAAGGTAGATTCTTAACCACTGGACCACCATGGAAGTCCAAGCCAAGTATTTTTCTAAGCATTTCATGTACGAGAGTCATTCCAACCTTCACAATAAGGCTATGAGGGGAAGGATATTATTGTCACCATTGAAAGTGAAGTGAAGTTGCTCAGTTATGTCTGACTCTTTGTGACCCCATGGACTGTAGCCTACCAGGCTCCTCCATCCATGGGATTTTCCAGGCAAGAATACTGGAGTGATGGTTGTATTTTAAGACGCAGATAGTCACATGGCTAAATCCTTCACATTTTCTTCAGGTTTTTGATCAACTATAGCTTAAAAGACTATTAACTCACCACCTGTTTCAAATTATCACCTACATTTATCATCAGCAGTCGTGATCCCCATTATCTGTTCCCTTCTCGTTCCCTGTTGTACTTAATGACCTTTCAGTATTTAATGCAACTTATTTAATTCTGAGTTTCATATTCTACTGTTTATATGTTATGAGATGTAAGCTATCTGAGCATTTTTTCTCTTTTTCTACTGATATATCTTCAGCACCAAGGAGAGTGCTTGCAATAGAGCTGACGATTCAAACAATATATACTTGTGGAAGGTTGAATGAAGAGATTAGTTCAAGGTTATCTTGCTAGTGTGTGGCAAGGCTGGGGCTGGAACCAAGGTAGCCTGGCTCCACCATCTATGTTCCCAAGTACCATATTAAACTCAGGTCATTGAACAAATGACATATTTTCCAAGATCAAACAGCTGGTCTCTGATGGGGTTGACATTGTCTCTTGGAGCTGAATCTGATACTCGGGACTCTGTACCCCCACATTGATTTAAATCACAGACACAGAGTTTTGGATGAAGTAGAAAAGAATAGCTTTATTGCTTTGCCAGGAAAAAGGGGGCCACAGCAGGCTAATGTCCTCAAAACTATGTGTTCTGACCTGGACGGGTGAGGAATTTTATAGAAATGGTTCAAGAGGGGGGGATCAGTTCATGGATATTCTTCTGATCGGTTGGTGGTCAGGTAATCGGGAGTAAGCCTCATCAACCTTCTGGTTCCATCAGGTCTGGGGTCTGTGTGCTTGTGGACAGCAGACAGTTAGCTTCTCCCACCTGGTAGGGGTTTCAGCATCTGCAAAACATCTCAAAGATACTGTTCTGTGTATCCCTTGAGGGGGGACCAGAGCCCTGCCCCAAGGCTGCCCTGTTGCTTCTCGACTGCTTCTCCCTAGTCTCTGCATGCCCTCCCTCTCCTGATTAGCAACTGTTTGAACTTGCCCGTTGGGAACTCAGGGAAGGTCAGAGTGGCTGAATAAAGCCTATTTCCTGCAAGCAAGAAAAGGGGAGATACAGAAAGACTTTTGTGCCCAGGAGCCCCACAGGGTCCTGCTCAGTTTCACTCTGAACTCAGTTAGACAAGAAGGCACCAAATCTGTTCTCCCTGCACTAAAGGATCTTTTCAAGATCAATGGGAACGACACTGAAAGATACTCCTGGTGCCTGAAGTGGGCGGAGAAGAGCTGAAAGAGACACTCCTGCCAGGTTCAGTACCTTTGGAATGGGTTTTAGGGGTGTTTGCCATGGTGGGCATGGTGGTGCAGAGCACATTTGGGGGGCACAGCTAACTTGGGTGGAGAGCATGCTTGAGACTGAGAGACACTGGTCCCCCTGAGTTTCACTGGCAATTTTCTCTCTGCATCACGTTCTAACATGAAGCTGGTTGATTCCACCAATCCACTGCAAGGAAAGAGGAAACCATTAGATTGAGTGGTTTAGCAACATATAGATCAAAGAAATTAACCAGAACATAAATTCCAACCCATTCAGATGGACAAATATCAGAATGTTCTCTCTTTTGGCCATTTGATTTTGTGGCTACTTGTATGTCAAAGTGACTTCAAAATATACGGTAAAACCTCTCCCCCACCAAAAGAGTTTAACAGTCAAAAGAAAGAAATAAGAAAGCCAACCCATTGCCTAGTGTACGGTGTCTGGAAAACATCATGGTGAAATTTTCATCATCCTCATTAATTAGAGACTGATAATCTAAGCTATTGAAGATGCCTGCTTGGGTGGTGACATTGTTCAGATCTGCATTCGAACATTCAGGATCAAAGCACTTAACTAGTGATTGAACATCACAGAGTATGTTCATCAATAAACCCTGCACCTTATTTGTGCTGATAAAAAATGAGAAGTGTCTGATCTGCACACATCAGAGGTGCTAACAGAGAAGGATCTGTGGGAGTGAGTGTCATAGAAGAGATACTGTATCCATAAGAGAGGTGGGATTATTATCAAGCTCAACATGAACACAGCCAGAGAAATGCCAGCATCACTCTTATCACCCAGAAGGGGAGCATCTCTGACAACACCTCCTAAATGCCCAGAGGAGTGACAGTGACCACATCAGCAAATGTGTCCATGTGGAGGGGACCCTGGACAGACCTGATATTAGACCTGGACATGGTGTTGATTTCTGATTATGGGAATTTGAAATGACAGAAGGTGAACTGGTTGAGTTGAGGGATTTAGACCAAGATGGATGTCAGCCAGCATCAAGCCTGATATGAGGAGGACACTTGGTAAATGTTTGGTAAATGAATGAATGAATGGATGGATGGATGAAAATGGCTAAATGCACCCTTTATTCTACCTTGTAAAACCAACTCAAGGTGGTTAGCATCCTGAGTACAAAAAGGGTGCCCCCATGTCTCAGGCTACTTGCCTGACTATTTGAGCAACACAAAACATCTAATTCAAAATAGTGCAGGTACAAAAGGGAGTTTGTTGGTGTAACTGTCCGTGAGGAGTATTGCATTCAGGCAGAGCAGGGATTGGTGTCTGAAACAATGGCTCCAGGGCCTATTGTCCCCTCCTGGTTCATTTCTCCTGCATATTGATGTAACTGTGAAGCTTCACATGGCAGAAAGATGCAATCAGCAAAGGGCAGTATCCTTTTCAACTCAAGTCTTGTTGAAAGCATGCCTTTGGGGACTTCCCTGATAGTCCAGTGGCTAAGACTCTGCACTTCCAATGCAAGGGGTGCAAGTTCAATCCCTGGCCAGGAAACTAGATCCCACATGCCACAGTGAGGATCCAGTGTGTTTCAACTAAGACCCGGCACAGCCAAATAAATAAAATGAAAACAAAAAACTTGTCTTCCTTCTCAAAAATAGCATAAATAATTAAAACAAAATAGATTGCTTGCTCTTCTCATCTCACTGGGTCAAGGCCCATCCCTGACCTTCTGGGGCCATTCCAAAGTGATGCTTTGACTACCCTAATGAGGCACATGTTTACTTCTAGCAAAGAATGAGGGCATTCTCTGTAATATAACCAGATATTTTTGGTTAC